AATAATAGTAACATATACAATAGCATTTTAATAATAATTGGCCACATGAAAATTTCAGAATGGGCTTCTGCAATAGGAAGGGGAGCCCCTTTCTTGACAGGGCAAAAGAAAGCAGCTCACTCTTACCCCTTCCAGAGCATTCTTACCTTGTGCAGTAAGGTCAGGATAGTGGTCGTAATTACTGAAGTACACTTCTGTTTCATAGCAGCGAGAAAGCTTTTGGTTTCAGCTAGCATATTGGCATCATGGAGCTGTTATAAAAAAAAAAGACAGCACACGGTTAAAAATAAATTCTAAGCCTTCAACTTCCCTTGTCATTTATAGCATAATAGGAGGTATTATGGTAATTATATTTTTAGATTTAATTAAGGTCTTCTCAAGATCTCTTCTAGACAGAAAAAGGATTTCTGTTTCCAAGTGGTTTTGAACTGAGGAGTGTTTCCTGAACATTCTATTTGCAACTTTTCCCTGTACTAACGAATGACAAAACAATGTGAAAGAACATAGTAAACCATTATTAACATTAATTTTATTCCTGGCCTCCCTGCAGAGACTAGAAGTTTAATTTGAACATACTTTGCAAAGAGAAACAGGACCCTGAAAAGTAGGGAGAAACTACCAGCTCCTTTCACAAAATGACCCAACATCTGATCAAGTGGTAGAGATTTTTAAAAGGTCATGGTGATAGCCTCTCCTATACCTATCGAATTCTTAATATAACGGCTCTAAACTTGTTAATAGTTGGCGTACTTCTGAGGTTTCCTCAGCAAACTTCAGCATTGTCCTTGCCATACCTTTTCACTCAGGGCCAAATCCATGTTATTCGATATGCCATGCTGAAGACAGGACCCAAATGAACAGACGATGAGCCGCAGAGCTAACTCGCACTGACTGCACTCCATGAGGTTCTGTAGCACGGCACAGATGGGAGTTCTAGCTGGCAGCAGGAGATTCTGTCCTGTGATATATTTCAAAAACAACCCCAGAAAATAATTAGTATATTTATATTAAGCATATTGTCTGGAATTAATATCGGAGCAGTCTCTTCATTAAATTTAGGACACAAGATCAGCCTTTGCTTCCTTTGAAACCCTACATTTTCAGGGCTTTATATTTAATACAGACTCCCATTTTAGTTCAAAAACCACAAGTTGGTTATCTTCTTGGAAAGGCTCTAATGGATCCTAGCTCATAGTGGTAGAACTTCTGTTCTAGTGCAGGCTTTGATAACATGCCCAAAATCCCATGGCTGAATGGTTGCAATTAACATCCAAACTGGTGTCTTCTGTGCTGAACCAAGCTATCCCCCTTGAATATGGCTTTAAGTGGAACATCTAGGCACCTATTTAAAAAACTCTGCTTGCGTAGGTTTAATTTAAACCTCATGTTTTCCAGTGCTCTGGTTTATACTTTTAGCATGGTGAATCTGCCATCGTGATACCTTTAATAAATGCGCAGTTTGCCAGGCTTGTAGACTCCAAAGGATACAGCTTGTTCTCTGAAAGACCGAAAAATACACCTCAGCAACGTGCCAAGATCTCAGCAACACTATGAACCCTGGAAGTACCTTAAAAATATGATACTTCAGGGACAGTGCATAAAATAGATACAAGAGCCAGGACTGCTGTTTTAACTGTGCCTAAGCAGAAGTTATATTATAGGACAGAATATCTTTTCAAACACAAAGGAATACAAACCAACAGTTTTCAGTAACTACTTTGTGTGTAAATCCCTTTGTCTTGATGAGACAGTCAGCAGAAACACTTCATCTGTGAAGGTAATAAATCTATTCAAACCAATCAAATAAGCATATCCTTTATAGGTAGATTTAGCACTGTGCGACAGTATTTGCAATTCTATGCTTTTTTATATACTAATGACACATTAGGAAAGAAAACATTTACATCAAGAAGTATTAAAAATAAATAATTCAAAAAGTATACAGTGCTGCTTTCAGAGAGCTCAAAGCATCTTTTTTCAGCACCTACAACATTGCAGAGTTCTGTTTATCATACTTTAAATTTTCAAAAATAAGTGTGTGTCCACAGTGGTGTATAATACAAGGACAATCATTTTAGAGTAAGCTGTTTAATCTTGATAAAATCCCGTCTCCATTACTGGCTACCAGAAGATGTCTAGAGAAGATCATAAGAACAGGGCAAGTTTATAGTTAACACTTCTCCAGAGCATTCTCCATGCCTTCAGGTATTTGTCATTCAGATTCTTCCTGAACCAGAACAAAAACCAAAATAACCTTTGCATTCTATACTCCCCCAACAGATAATTCTTCCATGAGTTTGTCTAACTGAGATTTCTGAGGGGACAATTTCCATACATGTGCTGAATTATTTATATTCCTAGATAAAAATCAATATGAAATACAGATTGTATATTGACTTAATGGTCAGGAAAGCCAATTTACCACAAACAGGCAGAAGAGAAGAAATAGTTTCATATGCAACTGGAAGAGCTATCTGTGGATCCAGAACTATCCCATCTTCATTAAAGAAGTCGTCATAAGTCCACTCTTCATAAGGATCTTTATCTCCTCCAAAAGGTGTTGTCTAAATAAGAACATTGTCAAAAGCACGCACAATAAAAGAACAGCTAATAAGTCTGCTAACAAAGCATTGCAAGAGATTCCAGTTTTTGAAAACAGGATTAGAATGTGATTTTTTTTGCAAATGGATTCTACTATAGTGCTTCTTGTTAAATGGCCAATAGCATTAAACACATTTCTTAGTTAGAGTGGTCACATTTCTCTTTAATGTTGCAGTTATTTAGTTGTGCAGCCAAAATGCATTCTTAATTAATTTAATGGAGGCCTTCATAAACGTTCTTGGCCAAATATTACAAGCAAAGATTTTTCAAATGGATCATTTTTCAGAAAAATAAAATTCAGTGCATAAATATGCTTGCCTAGCCAATTGTATCTATTCCCCTCAAACTCTAAGAGCCCATTCATTTCAAGTAGCCTAAAGCACTGCTTGACCTAAACAAAAAACAAAGATGCTATTCAAGAACTTGATCCATCTTAGAGTTTTACAAGACTGTTGGGAATGCCTTCATATAATAAATACATGCATTTAAAAAATCAAGCCCTCCCTGACATAGTTTACCTTTTTTAAAAAAAAAAAAAAAAAAAAAGCTTTTTTAAAGTCAGTAAATCACACTATCCAGCAGTCCTGGCAGCAGCTATTCAATAAAAACACTAACATTTTCAGTCACAGTAGCAGGATTTATCAGACTGAAACATAAGTGGAGAATGCTACTTGTGCTTGTGCCACTGCTGCACTGCTTTTAGCACTCAAATCAGTTTACTCTTTTTGCTAAAGTACACACATATTCAGGGAAATTTTTATTTGTAGAGCTGTGTAGGGGTTGTGTTGTTGTTGTCGTTTGCTTTTTAAACAAGTTGATTAAATACTGCTTGAAAAATGGCAGAAAAAATGCAGGTACAGTGAACACTATTCAGTTGATCAGAACATTACGTACATTAAAAAAGTATTTTTAAGTTAGCAGAAAATACCTTTGCTGTAAATCCATAGTTTTCTATTTGGCACTGTCTGTAAATGTCCTTGGCAGCCAAAGTATATTTACATAGTTCCAGAGAATCTAATAGTAAATCTGTAAAAATATTAAGATCATTAGCATAATAGGAATGCAAGGTTCATAGATCCTATTAAAGGGAAACAATTTTTTTGCAGCACCTGTTTTTAGAGGCAGATATTGAAATTCAGTTTGTTTTCATGCTTATTAAATATTGTTTGGAAAGTTAGATTCCCACCATGAACACAAATGAATGATAATAGCAATTACCTGGACTACATACTGTAGCTGCTTGGCAAGCCATTTCATAGATCACTGCTGGAAGATTCATATCATTAGGAGTGATCATTGGATCATCAGCTCCCAACATATGACAAAGCCTTTGACATGCTGAGAACAGCAGCTTCCCTGTTTCTTCATTGCAGTGATTTTCATAGAACTCCCTATCAAAAAAAAGATATTAAAAAAAAATAGTCCTTAGGTCTTTTACTTAAGGCCACAATCTGTTCTAATTAATTAATTATCTTTTACTTCTTTCACCTCCATGATTCACTGCAACTAAAACTTTTGCCACTGAAGTGAAAAAAATTCAATGGTGCTTACCTTAGAGATGGATACTGAAGCACATAGAACATGTTAATAATAAGAAATATGTTCAACATTTTTATCTCATCTCTTTTGGGGGGAGCTGGTAGTAAGTTTAAATTATCTGACAACCTAAGCATGAGGCAGAGACCAGCTAGAGACCATGACATGGTATGTACAGTCACTGCACGATAGTTTTCTTCTACCTGTGTAAGCTGAGAAGCTCTCATAATGGTTAATATAATGCTTTACTTATCTCTCACTGTAAAACCGTAGGAAATCTTTTTACTTATGAATCATGTTATGGCAAAAACCAATGGCAATTTTCAGAGACCACAACTTAACTCTACACTCAGTATTGTATACAAGGAATATAAGCATATTGCTTAAACGCTCATTTTTAGAAAAAAAACTAAAACAAAAAGTTTTTTTCTTTCCCTTGCTCTGCATCAGAAAAAGTACAGCAGAGCCCATTAAAAGTTATAATTTTGAAAACCTCTGCAGTTTTACCTGCATATTTTTACAGCATCTTCAACTTTTCCAGCATCTAGTGCTCTCAAAGCCAGTTTTTCTCCCAGTTCTTGCTCTGACCTTTGCAGGAGCAAAGCCAGTCTGTACAACCTTGATTCAGTAGAATGGTTCTTGGCTTTACCATCTTCTGAATTACAGTTCATTGTTTGCGCTTTTCTAGACTTTGACAGAGATCTGACAGTTTCATAAGCTTTTATGTGCTTCTCAAGAAGTCTGGACATCAGTGAAGGATTCCCAAGTTCTTCAACTGAAAGAAAGATATCAAAATCTTCCTGCAAAACAAAAATAAGATTATGTATTTGTATTCATGTAATTGCCTTTAAACATGTTGGGGTTGTTTATTTTGTTAAAATGTTTTTATTTCTTGGTTCATTCTTAGAGGAATACTTTCAGTACAAAGTTAAATTTACTAGCTTCTACTGATTACTGATTTATATAATAAATTAGAGAATTTTGCTAGGCAGTAGGTAAGCAAGATAAAAAAACCTAAAGGATACTGCTTGCTCAAAAGCTGTATTAAATAATTTAAGTTTACAAACCATAATAAGACCTTAACAAAATATTACAGTACTCTATCTTAAAATCTTTGAAATGGTAGCAATTAAAACTTTTGGGAGAGCATCTAATTTTTTAGTTTAAATGGACAACTGAGTTTTAGTAATTGGGAACTTTCCCAGGCACTATTAAAAATGTTAGATTAGCCTGAGAATCTCTTTTAAGTTAACAATAAAAACAACCCATACATATAAGTTGCAAATACAATTAATTTTTAATATCATCCATGTTGTAAGAACAATTGGAATAACTACAGTAAATCATAAGTGGTTTGAAACTATAAAGGTACCTACCTGCAGAGTAGCAAGTGTTTCAAACATTTTGAGGTTTGCTTCACATTCATCTTTCTTCAGAGGATTGTCTGTTAGAGCAGAAAAATAATTACTTCCTGACTCCATTTATAAACAAAATGTAAGATTTTTAAGTTGTAGCTTACCTTTTTGAATGCTGAACAGGAATTTAAGGATTTCCACGAGTGTCTTAGTCATAAACATTTGTGTTTTGTGCTGCAGGAAAGGAAGAGGTTCATGTTGCCAGTAACAGATAGTGACCCTCAGGTGTCCCCTCTATTAAAATACTACGCAGTCAACTGTGAAGCTTCAACCCACTTTGGTGCATGGTAAAGCCACACCTACAGTTTTTAAATAGGTATTTTCCAAGCAACTAAAGAAAGAACTGGAAAATACAGAGGACTAGAGGTATAGCAATGCAGCAAGATTTACAAATTATTAATTCAATTCAGATAGCCATGCCACTGTGTGGAGATGCCTTTAAAAATAACACCAAATAATTGTACAGCATACAGAATCAGAATAAACTCAAGTTGGAAGAATTTCAAGAGGCTACCTAGTCCAACCTCCTGCTCAAAGCACGACTAGGTCATCACCCCTTTTTGCTGGAAGGCATCGCTTTACATTTGCATCCTCTACCTTTTTTTAAGCATCTGTGTAAGAACAGTACTTAGAATAATTTGTGTGCATGCTTTACGATGTGAAATGACTTGGTACCTCTTCAGAATTTTCTGCTTTATTCTGTAACACCAGTCTTCCCCATACAGTCAATCTCTCTGCAACTTTCTCAGCTTCCACAGGACTGAGAGATTTTAGCAAAGTCAGAGATTCCTCTCCCTGAAGGGGGCAAAAAAAAGTAAACCAGAAGTAATCAAAAGAAAAGGCCATTTGCTTTTGGAAAAGCTAAGCTATGTGTACTTCCTTGCTTTGGTACAATGGCTGCATGAGGGCCTCAGTGTCTTTAAATTCTGTGATCAACTGACAAGAAGTATGTTAGTACCCTTTCTTTGTCAATTAGGTCTATCATCCTCAGAATGTAGACTTCCACAGTGGGCAACATATATGCTGTTACAATTTTCAAAGCATCCTCCAAAGAAGTAGGGGTATCTTGTTTAAGAACGTATTTCACTAGCCTCTGTAAAAAGAAAACAGATATGGACTTTAGTTTGTTGACGTACAGGATAACAAAGAAGGTAATTTATGCACACTGCTTCTGCATTGTAACTGTACAGCACATACCAAGCAAGTTACCTATAAGTTTAAAACTTTTGTCTAGAGAAAACTTGACTAAAGCATAACTGAGAGAAGATTGGGCTTGGGGAAGAGAATTACTCTGAGAGCTCTCAAAATTCAGGGGACTCATCTGGCTCCACAGGATGGCAAGGAACTTTTCTAGAAATACTCATGTTTTCTCCCTAATAAAGGGGAGACGCTTAAAAAAATAAAATTAAAAAAATCACCACATATTGTTAACTGTGACCTTAGGAGAAATCTAATCTGAAGTCTTGTGAGGACTTAGCCTTCCATTTTGTTAGCTTCCTCTTTTCTTTCCCACCACCCCCATACAGAAAGCACTATATTATCAATGCTGAGCTAATCAGGTTGGGCTAAACGAATCTGCTAATTCTTAAAAAAAAGAGTGGGCTTTCAGGTAAAAAACATGTCCCAGCAAGACAAGAAAAACAGATGTTGGTAACAAGTGGGAGCTACCAGTTGCTAAGATTTTTTTGAAAAGTCTGGCTTGTAATACCCCATGAAAATACATGTAGGTAAGTCTAGGGGTTTTTCTTTAATAGAAATAAGAGTAATGCTGATCACTTACCATTATCATCTGCTTGTTCTTTAAAAGATTAGTATCTCTTATCCCATAGGCTCGCAAAAGCTTCTTCATCTCCATTAGTCGGTAACTTTCCTGCAGTAACTTTACTCTGTGGACAAATTAGACAGTTATTAATTGATTTGCTGCCTACAGCTATGTGATTTAATGATCACACTACATCAGATACACAGTATTGCCTGCTGCCCACCCCCAACAGAATTCCAGTTGAGAGTACACACAAAACTGAGGTGTAGACGGGGGATTTTGCCTTACTTGACATGATTCATTTCCAGATGCTGTTTTACCAGCTGCTCCACTGCTGCACTCCATGGTACCATAGCACCATGCATTATCTGCAGAACTGCATCAAATTTCAGCTATAAAAGGAACATAAAGAGCTTACTTTTCAAAATAAGTTGCAAGGTAATCTCTTGAAGTATTGTTTGAGTGTGATTGATTCATTTAGGCAAGCATTTTATTTTCTGGCTCAATCTCCACTCCCATAAAGGGCATTCATTTTCATAACATGATGTGTCAAGTTAGATTAGAAAATGCTTATAGTAATTTACGGCACTGCAGAGCTTGAGTTTCATACATATTAAAGTTGGTGAGTTTTCCATGTGATGACATTAAAACTGCAATTAAATTCTTAAGCAAAGAACATCACATGGGAGAAGATTACTAAGACAGAATAGAAAGACAGCATAGTATTTGTTCCTCCACATAGCATTCCTGTCAAAATGTACTCAAAGGCCTATGTAAAAATTATGTGTTTAATTCTGAACTGATGTGTTAGAGACACTTGATGCCAATTTTGTAAAATATACTTACATCTGTATCGGAGATACAGCCAATGACCGCTATTGCCTTTGCCTCCCATGCAGTTTCAAATACTGAAGTAGACCTTGTACGACAGCGCTCTAGCAAATCCTGTATATTTTGATAAAAATTATGAGGATATTTGAATTCAGAAAAGATAGGACTATCTTATAATAGGAACAAAAGTTAAAAGTTTTTTGGACATTAAGGGATAGATTTGTCTCTCCTCACTTGTACTGTTATGCCTTATTACTGAAATAACAACTATCAATAAGGTCATTGACAGGAGTAAGATAATCTGAAGGCTGGTCCTAAAATTCAGGTGCAAATAAAAATGGTAATCAGATTTTTTTTCTGCTTGCTCATGTTTAAATAGTTTTTTTCAAAAGGAAGAAAATATGGATACCTTTATATACTGTAGAAGAAGTTCATCTTTCTGTAGATTATGTTCACCCAGGTAGGGTTTTATAAACTTCTCCAAAATGGATGGGACAAGCTCTGGTGCCAAAATTTTATCAAACATGCGAAACACAATAGTAGTTGCATTTTCCTGGGCAGCAAGTAGAACAATGCCATGTTAGAACACCACACGTTAGTATGTGATGGACCTTTTACATCCCTCATAAATAATTCAACATCCAGTGTCCAGTTAAATCAATTGAATGATTTCAAGAACTAGCATCCCTCTTTAGCTCAAATAAAAGCTTTCTTTTACTAAGCCCCTTATTGTTCAGTTGTACTTTTAATTTCTCTGTTGCTAATGCTTGCTCTGCAATATATGATGTGCAATGAACTGCAAGTCATAGAGTTTAAGCCATACCTTCTCATAGTACCTTGTCATATTATGTATTTATACCCATGCTTGAAACAAAATTCATGACAAACACATCAGATAGTCTTAGCAGCTTATGAACACAAGTTTACCAACCAATCCATCAGGATTCTTCTTTCGTCTGACTTTAAATTGCACGCTACACGATTTTTCTCCTTCTCAGAACAATCCACTACTCAAAAGCACTTTTGAAGTGCCAGCAGAATTACCTTTTCAAAATCACAGAGTGCCAGCCTGCAGTTGTATTTTCTGTACAGATTTATCAGTTCTTGTAAATCGTTTACCAGCTTCTTTAACCTATGTACCTCTTCACCGTCACCACATCTCTGAAACAGTTTTTAGAAGTGAAACATTAGAAGGCTTACTACAGTCTTCAAGACTTAAGAGCTGTCAAAAACATGAAGAGAACAAATTATTCTCCACATCTCTGGTATAAGACAAGGCCATAACACATGGTTAATTGCAATTAATTTCCAAAAATTTTGACAGAGATGCTTCTAATTTAAGTTCATAAGTAGTATCTCTACTGAAATTTAAGCGTTTTGTAGTACTCGGGCTTATTTATGTACTACAGAATATTCAAGAATATTATTCATATTTAGACTATTAATATATCTGTTAAAGGGTATCAATGTTTTGCTGACTTTTTCTTTTTTAATCTTGAAACCCAAGAAGATTGGAACTCGGTTCCTTCCTTTCATGGAATTAAGTCAATCTTCACCAAAAACAATAGTGACCTAATTATTATCCATTCCAGCTCTAGCACAGAGCATATGTTCTGAAGCCTCTTAGTAGCAAATCCTTATATTTTCTACATTTCTTACCAAAGGAGTCCACTGGCCAAAAGTTGTCAGTCCCATTTCACCTTGATTTTTACTCGTAAAAAAAATCTCTGCCATTTGGAGTCCATTTTCTGGCCAATTTGCCTGTGCAAAATAACTGATATTAGCAAACTGTATTCTGTATATATAAAATATAAGACATGCAAAGTTTCTGTAGTATGACCTACCTTATCAGTTAATTCAAGGTTTCGAGCACCTTGTTCCAGCCATTTTGCTAATATTTTCTGAAAAAAAAAAATACAGTTACAAGTAAAGTTATGCTACCTATCAAAGCAAAATTTGCCATTAGAAATGTGTTTTAAAAGAAATACTTTAAAATATAAACTGCAGGGAAAATAATTCCTTTAAAAGATAGAGGAGCAAGGTTCTGACATTCAAAAAATAAAAGTCTGTAGGTCTGACTATAAAATTATCTTAGCCTGAGAAAATCACATTTTGCATTTATTAAGTCAGTCTTACCTGTCCCTTTGGCACAACTCTTCTTAAGAAAGGGATCACAACATTTTTAAGCCACAAACATAGTTCCTTCAAAGGAACAGTGAAATGGATAGCATTTAGCAAGTTCTCCAGCATTTTCTCATCAAAGCCACTTTCAAAATCTGCCTAAAATATTAAAAAAGAACAATTACAGGTACATGGAGTATGTTTATCTGATACTTTGTAAAGCTCTTTCACTAATAGGAAGAAGGAATAGATTTCACAAAGACAAAATCTCAGTAATCATAGACAGGAATTTAAAAAATAATAGCCCTGTTCAGAAAAACTAGAGCTTGGTCTTTTTAAAGAAGACCTAATTGAAGCAACTTCTTTGCAAACTACATTGGCAGGATCATTTCCTATTATTTAGGACTTGCTTTGTAGTTCTGTCTTATTAAGAAAACAGACATAGACTCGAAAGTCCTTCACTTAAAGAATATAATAGCTCAAAGCCACTATTATGAATGTGTCATTCTGAGTAAGGAGCCTATGTGATTATTTTTAAAGGATTTAAGGTAGCCAGCAAATGTTCACTTAAAAATTCTGAGAGCTGTGCTTGCAAGAAAGTGAATGGAAGATTATAACCACCACAAAAGAAATCAAAGAATTGTCATCCTTCAGACCTAGAAATATGCGTTCTGACACCAGAAATACCACTTTATTGTTAAATCAATAAGAAGTTCAGGCTTCTGAGGAGCTAGGTGAACAGGTAACCATTGTGATAATGGACGAGATTCTGCCATAGACCTTTGCTGCTTTGAAGAGCCATTTCATAACTGCATTGGCCTGATTCCCTTAAACAAGGCTGGAAAATTTGAGAAACTTAACATCCTCTGTAAATATCAAAGAGATGTGTATGCCATCTCACCTGATGCCTAAGCCAAAGGTACTGTGCACAAGAGAAATTTCCTTCTTCTAGCTGAAAAAGGATATTCTTGAAAATATCATCGTTATTCAAGAATTCTGTCCAAGCAATACCGCTAGAAGTGAGAGGAGAAATAGAAACTCTGTTATTATATGCCAATATTAAAGGAGTTGGGGGGAAGAATCTCAAACCTTTTCTAGCTAGCACTATATGCTGTAAGAGACAACCATAGTGTTAGATTGTGTGTGCATAAAATCACACACCCTCCCATATATGTTAAATTTAAAAAAATCTATACAAGATTGTGTATGTGCAACAGATAATATATGTTTTCAACATATAGGATGACTCAACCTCTCTGCATTCTCCCTTCTCCACAATAGACGATGGGAAACTTCAGGAAGAGAAGGAAGAGTTTAAAGTTTAATGAACTCAAAACCAAAACCCCAAACCACCACAATTTTAATTTCAATGGCACATACTTAATCATTACAATTAAATTTACTTTAAATCTTAACAAACAAGCAGAAACAAACCTGAATTTCTCTAGTCCAAAAACTCCATAGAAAGTCGTCAGCCTTGCCTGAGCTCTCAATACCTGAATGCAGACAGGAGATTTCAGGTCAATATCTGGCTTATCAAACAGTGATATGACATGTTTAGAATAACCATCAAAACGAGGAATCACTTTACACCGATTCTCCTTGCAGGTGGATGAGTTCTGTTCATTACACAACAGGACTAAGTAAGAAACAAAATTAAATACCTAAGAGTTTCTTCCTTCAGTTTCTGGAGCATCTGAAAATTAATCTTTCTATGACCGAAGGAATCACTTATTTCTAAAACCTGTCATTACTGTGGTTCTCCTTCACACTATCAAACATTATCTTGTTTAGACTTTTTAAAAGTTCACCAGTAGTACAGTTTTTAAAACTCTACATTGTAATTGTTTATCATATGATACTGTGGGGCCAAAAAGTTTGTCCTCACCTCAGTTATGGATACCGGAGCCCCATCAGATGGTGGAGCAATGGTTCTATCATCTTTCTTCAAGATCTGAAAGAAATATGTGAAATGGTTTGGCTGACAACTCAGTACATGCAGAACATGCCAGACGGTACTATGAATTTAATAAAAACATGAGCAAAAACTTAGTACCTCTGTAAAATAAAGACTCCAGTTTACAATGTTAGACTCTGGATTTCTACATGTATGCAGGATCAGACAGATATTGGGTATCTCTCTGATTCTGTTTGATAAGGCAGGAAAGACTAAAATAATGAAACAAAAAAGGTGACATATTTTGAGCTTTTAGTCCTGAAATTTATATTTAAAAGGTACTTAAAAAGACTACTACTCAAAACTAAAACCTGCTTTCTGATGTGAAAATAAACCTGTAAGCTCTTTTTTGCCCTTAAACAATAGCAAGAACGAGGTTGGAACAAGCCTTGCTTCCTCTTCATCTTTGGTAAGGTACAATTTATGATACATTTACTTTTGAATCACTGTAACTGGTTTGAAGATGACCCCCCTCTCAAGTTGTACAGAAGCATGGAACAGGAATGGACAAGTACAAGCAATTTAAACAAGTAAACCCCCTTACTCTGACTTTAGCGTACTGCAACATTTCTTGAGTAGTTTCATACAGTGGCCATGGAGCGTTTATGCAGTAATCCACAACAAATTGGCTATCCTGTTTGCATAAGGAAACAACTGAAATTAATTCCAAGCTCGTTTATGATTTGAATTGCTTTAATAGAGAAAGAGGGTAGAAGTAAAAACATACCTGAATTTTTTGCAAATTTTCTTTGGCTTCATTCACAAGATCCAGCCAGACTTCATTACCATAACTCCCAACAGAAGCTGAAGCTAGTTTCTCTAAAATAGTGTTTGCTTTTACTTTGTATACAAGCTGTTTAAAAACAGAGAAACCCAGTTTTCAGTTTGATGCAATTAAGTTTTAAGCAGACAGTCTTCAACTGGTAAACCATACACTTCCATTCACAATGTTTTCAAGATAAAGTATGTCCACATACATTGAATGATCTCATTACAGAAAGGGATTACCAATTAGTCTCTAAAAATCATGGTTATCTTTTTATGTCACTAGTTAAGCGTGTTTATTTAAAAACAAAACAAAAAAGCAGAGGGAATATTCAAATTGCATTATTTGCATAAATCAGTTAATGAAGCCAGTATGTGTTAATAAGTGCATGTGAAAATTCTTGGGGTTTTTTTATAGCAACACCATTTCCTATTACTTAAAGGGACGAATGTCCCTTCTCCTGATCCAGCAGTGCTTATTTTGATCAGATGTACTTCTGCACCACTTCCCATTGTCAGGTTTGTTAGTTATTGTAAATAAAAACATAGTTCACCACGTAGTCATTTAATTTTGAACCAGCTTTCAAGTATAGCAAGTTGCTTTGTAAGGTAAATTTCCACTATATTTCTAATATTTTTAGTACCTTCTGTTGGACTACAGAGGAAGAACCTTACTCGTAAGTTCAGTTATACTAATTAATCTCAAAATGTATCTAGCAAGAATGGACAACTTACCTCAACATCTAGTCCAAACTGAATAGCAAAATTCTCTGCTTCAGTGAATTTGTGTTTGTGAAGCAAGCGGCTTAGTCTAGGAGTAAAATAAAGTGAAGTATACTGCTTCAATATAAGTGTCAAACCACAGAACGAAAAACTAAAATAATAGAATAGTGTTTCACAGAAACTAGTACCTGTTCTCTGGCAAGGCTTCAGTTAAACTTCTCATCACAACAATGGAAACTGGGCCTTCAGAGGGTCTGAGGATGAGAGGGAACTATGAGGGTTTATCAACTGCAAAGCAACTATAAGTAATCAGCCATTTGTATATAAAAATGCTGAAAGAAAACATTGTCTTACATCTGATCTTTTTCATTAATTCCTTCCAAGAAGTATATTGTATCCTGTAGCATACAAGAACAAAAACCATTAGGTGGTAAGGAAGATCAGTCATAAGAAAGCACAACTGTAATGCATTAAGAAACAAACTACTGCTATTCTCTCAGGTAAGTTTTTTGGGTTTGTTTTAAATGTTTATCATGTTATTTCCTGGATAGTTTCCACCATTTAAAATTTCTGAGGGCCTTAACTAGACGCTTCATACTGAAACCAGCCTGTTGTCCCAGTTCAATTACCATCAGTCCACCCTCCACATGAGTGAATCATCTTCTCAAAATCACTCTCTTTCATTTTGTCTAAACCATAAGCAGGTCACACTGTATCCATCCTCACATCTTTTAGAATCTGATCTCTCTGCTACATTCCACAAAGGCAATATATGCCTTGGCATTTCCCACCTTGACTTTCTCATCTCAGATCAAAGATAAGGGATATATTAGTCATTATTTTCTCCTCTATGTAGCCGCATGTGTATTTTCTGCCAAGTGCTTCATACAAGGCAAGCAATTTCATCCGCTTTGTATTTTATTGCGTAGCAGATCCAGAGCTTACTACCTTCACTTTCACAATTCCAAGGAAGAGCCACTGCTTAGACTTCTGACTTGGTATCCTCTCACATACCTGCTCCACCAGTCTTTACAACATTCCTAATTCATAAAGTTCTTGCTGTCTTATTCGACCTTCTTTCATTACAGTCTTCATAAGGAAGCAGTTTAAACAGTGAAAGAAGTAGTTCTCTCAACTAAACTTAAATAAATCCCAAATAAATCCAGGGTATTTTTCTACACTGAGAGAACTTAAAACTCCATACAGCTTTTAGCTGTAACGGCAGCAAGAACTGGCAGTAGCATTAAACACTGCAACACACCTGGGCCTAGAATTAAACTGTTCCGTTTGCTGTATATTGTATCTTTTTCTCTGTCCTTTGGGGACATCATTTAACCCTTCTTTGTAGAGTTCCTGCAGTTTCTAGCACAAATTGGTTCTAATCTATCAAGAATAACACAGTACCCTCTTGAATAATTACACCTGGTAAGACAACTATGTTTCTTCAAAGAATAACAACAACAAAAAAAATCATCTAAACTTACTGTGCCAATCCCACTTTGAACAAGTGAAGAAACAACAGATACTTCCAAAGAATAGAGTGGTTGCATAGTGGGCAACGCAAAAACCATTAGACTTCTCATCTATGAGAAAAAAGGGAAAAACAAACAAGTTAAATTTTTTTTTCTCATATGCTGGTAACAGCATAATAATGTTTGCAGAATAATTTCTGGATTCTTATGGAGTTGGATAGAAGACACTATTTTTGTAAGTTTTTATGAAAAAGCAAATCTCTACAATTTGAGAATGTTTAATGAAGTTTCAGATGTTGCCTCTATATATATGCTTATATATAATTAGATAGGTTCCATTTTAAAAATCTCTGAATACAGCAGAGACACTGTTCTAAAGCAATCTGTGAAAGTATATAAGATGATAGTAAATTAGTTTGTTGCTTCCCTATCTACCTGCCATCAAAAAAAGCAGACAGACTCCAAACAATCCATAAAAAGCCCAAAGAGCAGGGCAGCTTGCCCTGGTCACCACCATAAGACATCGCAGTAGTCCCTCACTCGCTATATCCTAACATACAGATGGTCACATTTCAGTTTTGACTTTGAGCTCTTGAGAATTTTGTCTGCTCCAGATATTTAGCTATCTCCTTTTCTTTTCTTCCCCCCTACTCCCCTTTTTTCTGTGAATGACTGCATAACGATTGAGGAACAGAACACAGACAAAGAGCTTATACCTGTTTGTCATCCGGTATTGTCATGACTATCAGTTTAACATTGGCAAGCCCTTGCCTACAGAACAAGAGAGAGAAAAAGAAAGCAAAATATACTGTATAAATCTTTTGTTAAAACTGTGAAATTTCTGGCTTCTGAGTTTTAGAAAATTTAGCTTTCTATGGAAACTGGAACATTTTAAAACCCTGCAGTGCACTGAAAACTATCAGTGTTTTAGCATGTAGAGGACACACGCTTAACATACACGTAAAAAGCAGAAAGTGTCAAACTTTTCCTTGGTAAAACACAGAGCTAAGGGGACATACGGTCCAAGTATTTTGTCCTACTGACTAGAAAGATTTTAACAAAGATTTCAGAAAATTCACTACCATGGAAAATCAAGTGTTTGTGGCATACTTCCTGTAATGACAGGCAACTTTTCACTTTTCAGAATGAGTGCTATAACACTTTACTTACCATATGACTGGAGGAGAATCTGACTCTGTACTTAGAAGGAATTCTTCAATATGTATTAAAGGCCAATCCCAAATTAGAGTAAGAGAATAAACATTCCACATGCTTAAGATATTCTAGGTAAAAAGAAAAAAATCTGCTATGGATTTCAGATTTTCATCACAGAAGGCACTTGTTCTTCTTTGAGCAGAATATTAACACATTGCATAGCTTAAATAATGACTAGGAGCACAATGAAAAACAAACCACAGTAATATCAAGATTCTCTGTAAATATAAGCAACTTTATCTTATACAATAAATATAGCTGGTTCAAAAACATTGTAAAATGAAGACTAAACGAAATCATTACACATACCTCTGTATCTAAAACAAAAAGCAGATTGTCAAGAACTTGAAGTTTGGCTGCATCTAAAAAACATTCATAAGTCACATAAATTTATTCTTTTTCTTGAGAAATGTATTGGAAGCAAAAATACATCAAAATATACAAGCAAGCACTGGAAACCTACAGATGTTTAACCTCATGTAACTTCCTAGGTCTGTGAAAAGTTTAGCTTAAACAGAATTGTGATGTACATATCTAAGTTAACCTCAACAATTTTAAAGAGCACATTTTGGCCATACCTTTACAAGAAGTGTTCCATTTGGTATATGTGTATTTACTAAAAACAATTACATAACTGATTCTGCAATTAAATATGAATTCTACACTTGTCTGTAAAAAGAAAGAAAAACCTTCTTCTTTACCTTTGATTAGACTTGAATCAGCAAAACTTTGAACAGACACCAGGTTATTGGTAGTGTCTACCTCCCATTTGGAGAGTACGTAATTGCCTCTACCCTGTTAGCAAAGGCAAGGTAAAAATTAGAAATTTGGCCATTGACAGGTGTGCTTCTTCAATTGATATTTAACTTATAAGAACACTTGGAAAGCTGCAAAACTAACTTAAATTTTATTCCTGGTGAATGCTGATGAGCAGAATTTTTTTTGTTGTTTTTAATTTAGCCTTTTTTCCTTTCAAAACTGGCCTTTACTACAGTAATTGTTACAGTCAGCATCCCAAAACATTTTTGGCTCTTCTGAAAACAAGCTGCATTTCAAAACATGTCTATACTTTTATATTATTCCCTGTACTTAACTCATGCTTAAGGGCTTCGTTCAGATAGGACCCTAATTGTTACTTTGGCAAGCCTTTGTTGAATGCGAACCTGACTGGAAGACTCTTGCCAGTTTTGGCTTTGTCTCTGAGCTCAAGGATGAGACTATAAATAGCCTGCACAGGCTAGGAACCACGGTGATTTAGTAAAGTCATGCAACCAGGGTGAAAATGTTTTTCCCCCATCCATCATAATAGAGCAAGTTCTGAAATTACAACAGTTATTTCTTTATGAGAAAAACTCTGGACAGGACTGACAACCTTTAAATTTACACTGAGGGCAATGAAAGACAAAAGGTCTTAGTGCAAAAAGTTTATTATCTTTTTTTTCAACCAGCTAGAGAAAAATTTTGTTGCAGATCAAAAAATGTCATCACTGATCCGATAAAAATTGTTATTAACATATTCTTAGTACTTACCCCAACTATCAAATGGATTTTGTTCACTGAGTTACTTATCACGAAATTCTGACAGCCGAGGTTGTGATACTCTTCTGTGGAAATGAAAGCTGTCTTTATCTGTCCTTGTAACTTGTGGGGTGGAAGATGAAGGCAAAGCAAACAAAAGTGGAAGAAAAAAGGTTGTTATACAATCAGTGGATAAAACCTTGAACTGCTCATTTCTCCATGCACAGAAAAAGTAATGATCACAATTATGAGTTCTAATAATAAACTGGTAAGTAGACAATGAAATGTACAGCACAAAGTTTTGTTACAAACTGCACTTAACACATGTTACAAGTTAGCAAATATTTCTTACTTTCTTTGCCGTAGTCATATCCATCTTGTCAATTGCTATATTTAAAAAAAAAAATCAGTGTTAAATAAACCTTTTTTTAAAATTGGGAAAAAAGCCACTAAACATCTTATTAGGATAGTTTAATCCTGACCTGACTATGCTGAAAAACACTTTAGCCAGGGTCTTTGACAGGGTCTGTTTGTATTGATCACAGTGTTGAGTTACAGAAAATTAAGCAACAACAACACTTATACAGCATTAAAAAATTAAATTATTCCCAATAAACTTCAGTACAGTTAAGACTGATTACGGCTTTAAATCCTGCTTCTGTAGTATTTAGTACTCTCTCCAAAGCAGTGACTCAGAGAAACATAAACTAAAGGAATTATTTGAAGAATACAAAAATAATTTTATTACAGAACTAGTTGTAGATTGTTTTCCCTTTAAAAGCAAACCAAGATTACATAGAAAATCCCAACTCAATATTTCATTCCCATTAGAGAGATGCATGGAAGAGCTTTCTTAATACAGCTCCTCCTGATCAAATGGAAATCCCAAGTCGTTTGTAGATCCTCCTACCTTCCTGTGTTTTAGCAAGTGGGAGACACATAATGCAGAAGAATCCATTGCTTGTGAGAATGAACATATGATAAATACCTAAAGAAATCCAATAAAAATATTGCAGACTAAAGTTTTCAATAACCATAAAGAGATTACTTCCTTATGAATAGGACAGTGAAATAACTGACAAAAAAAAATCTGACCAATAAATTAGACTCTTTTTAAACAAAAATTTCATCACCTTCAACAATGAGTAGAATAAGTTTGTACATCTTAGAGTTTTGTTTGAAACCATGACTTTTGTATGCATCCATCAGACTGCAAATTCTGTTTTCATGACAAAACTACATTTAAAGGCATTATATTGTGACAGAACAAGACTGAGAGCTTATAGAAGAACAGGAACTACTAAAATCTGAAGTCTGATAGAAGGAAACAGAAGGAATCCTTCCTTTTTGAGCATTTTCATATGTTTAGCACAGTCTCAAAAGCAAGTATTGAGTTCTAAATGTTTGTTGCTTTCTATGATGTTTGTGAAATAATTAATGAGATAAATATCTTTACAGGAAAGCATTAAGAAAAGTGCATTTAATGGGTGCAATGGAAAGTAAAGCTGTATCTGATTAATTATTTTTTACTTTCTTTCCCTGCGAGATACTAAAGGGGAACAAAATCACAAAAATTGAGACAAGGAAAAAAAAAATTCTTACCTGCATCTGCATTATCTTTTTCAATAAAGAGACTTAAGTAAGTCTTTTCACTTGAAGATTTTTCAACCAAAATCTAAAATAGAATCAACATAAAGACTATTAGACTATTATTCTGTATTTTATTTGAAAAAGCCCCCAAAATATTTGAAATACTGATCATCAATTCAAATTTGATTTTGATATTTGAAAGAAAGATAAAACCAACTCAAGAAATTCTGAGAACAAAAGGTTTTCAGCAAAATTAGAATAGAAAAAATGCTGTACCTTAGTTAGCAAGGTTTGTTTTGATGGAATGTGAATAAGATGGAAATTGCCACTTCTCTCACCGACCACAAGAAATTGTTTTTCTTGACACATACCAACTACGTCCACATTAGTATCTGAAAAGTTCCATGGCAAAATGTCAAATATTAAGATTTGTTTTTTATTAATAGGCATTCATAGTTGAAACATGGGAACTGGACAATACAGTGTCCTGGATTTCGTCAAAATTATTTATTTTTGATTAAACAAAGTACAGGAAAGGGCATACAGGGGGTGGTTTTGATATCCATTACTCCCATTTCAGTGAAAAGTTAGCGAGCATTGTAATCAAGTTGTACAGAAATACTTCGTTAACTGGATACAGAATCATCAATCTTTATTATTAGGTATTTATTATAATACCTTCTCTTAGAGGCTAGTTAGATATGCCAGATATCTGCTATATTTTCCTATGCAAACTTAACATATGTATTTTAAAAGTCAGTTTTAACTTCCAGATGAATTCCAAAGTAGTGAACTTACCAAACTGAACGTGCATCTGAAGAGACTGCCCACTGTTATCAAGAAGTGCCACTGATCTGTCAACAACAATAATGCTGCCATCCTTTGAGTTGCATGCGTACAATTGCGGATTAACAGAGACCTACGAAGAAAAGTATCGGTTTATATAATAACCAAAACACTTTAGAAAATATGCCAAAGCAGCTCTGGTATTATTAAGAAAGAGAAAAACACAGCTTTGAGGAATTCTACCGTTTCTGAAGATCTTATTTGAAGTAGCGTATCCACTTGGTACAATGCAGTTCCACATTCGTGTCCTAAACCCACAGGGCAGCTCCCTGTGTCATCATTTGCAAGAAGTTCAATATCATTCCACATGTTTACCTACAATAAACATTTAAAGAACATGCTGTAAAGCAGAGAGCTTTGAAAAAGTTCGGTGATCACACACAAATTTTATTGTTCTGTCACAATTCTGCGTCTAGGAGGAAGGGTAGTACGACAACCCTCCTACAGCCAAGCTTTAGGACAAGACCAAGTGAGGTCGCAGGACAGCTAATGTCCCCCTGGGCCCGACTGAACGCAGCTTGCAGAGGACAGAATTCGCGCCCGATTCTGAGGGAAATTCAGTGCCAGAGAGCGCTCCCCACCACACAGCGGACACCCCTGCCCATAGGGACCGCGATCCGCCCCCTCATCTCCTCACCACAGCCCCGGAGGCCGGTGACAAACCACCTCCGCCCTCCCTCAGTCGCTTCGGGTTTTCAAATTGGCGGGAGCCCTGGCGAACGCTACGGGTCACAGCAGCGACCAAACTTCCTCTAAAGGCGAACGGTAGCGTTGCTAAGACACCACCTAATCCTTCCCCGCCCCCAGAATGCACCGCGGCTCCCTCGCTCCCTGCCGCCTGCCTCCGCCCTACGGTTACATCCGGGCGCCTGAAGGGAGAGGGAGGGCGGGGCGTGTCGCCGGGGTTGGCGAGCGTTACGGCCGCGGTTGCTGAGGGAGGCTCGGCCCCTTGTGAGGAGTTGTT